GCAGGTGCTGCCTGGGCGTCCGCCCCCTGCGAGGGGCCGAGCCATCCGGCTTCTCCGTTCGTAAAGGCCAGCTGATCCCTGAGGAGCGAGTCATCCATATCTCAGCGACGGCTTTCATCGCTGGCAATGCAGATGACCTGCCACTGCGTTGTTTGGACAACAAAATGCCGTTCTTCTCAAAGAACTGGTGCTGCAAGACACATGGACGCATGTCTCCCTCTTCATTACCACGATGACGGGCTGTCACAACGTGGGGGGAATTCCCACCGCAGCTCTGTCCTGATACGTTGAAATTCACCTTCTCCGTCGTTTTGCCCGATACACCTTCAGGGAATAGGCGCTTCCCTCGAAAAGGAAAGGGCCAGTCTTCTATTGTTAATTTTTGCTCTGAATCCAGGAGATTTTTCTCTGAACCCCAGGAAGGGGCCCTGAGCTCTGGACAGGCCACTGAAAACAGAACAGGACACAAGCCTGGCAGCTCACCAAACTATTTTACTCCATTAACAGGCTTCTGCTGTCCCTCTGCCTGCAGACGTTCCCGGTTTGCTCCCCTTAATTAGCCAGCCGGGACGAGTCGGGATCAAACGCAGCATTGCCTGGGGAGAGACGGCTTCCCGTCGCCCTGCCACGAAGGCAGCGCTGGCAGCTTTCCCCCAAAGCTGCACGCGTCTGTGTTAACATGCTGTGGCTGGGCCGGACGTGGTGGCTATGGAGCCTGGCGATGTGAATCGAGGAGCCTCACCCTCTCCCCATCCCTTCTCAACTGTTAATTCATGCAAAACTGGATGTTCTTGGTGCCAAATGCTAAGTTACATTATTGTTCCTGCCACGTTCGTGTACTTGTATCGAGGTGATTTGATTCAGTCGCTACGCGTACTGGGAGGTGTCTAAGGAAGTGGCTCTTGCCTAGTGAAAGCCACCTCGCTCTGCGGCCGCAGCGCAGGAGAGCCTGCGACTCGAGAGCGTTGATTCCCCAGGCTGGGCAACACCGAGCGGCCGTAACGCTGAGCAGCTGGAATAAGCTGTGTACAGCAACCTGTGAGATAAATTGAGCAAACCATCTAGGCGGCACACCTTGAAATGATGAAGACATCGGCGAAGTCTGGATGAGCTGGCAAATGATCTGAAAATACGGAAGAAGTGCTGGGGCATAACCTTTTGACCAAGAAAAATTCAGCTAGCCCTAGTTGTGCTTTGCAGGGGCATGGCTGTTAGTCATTCAAAATGATTTTTTCCTCTTCTGTGTAGGAGTGTTTTTCCTTTCCCTGCTAATAAATCCACCTACAGTCTTGTAATCCTCCTAGTCCCAGTAAACAATACTTAATCGTTTAATTGGCATGTGGTAGGAAAACTGAGGTATGTTGTTTTAAGCTCCTAAAGCAGAGCTGTCGATCATTTTAGAGTTATCTGCTGTGCCCTTTAATCCTCTCATTAGAAAGCTGTTAATCAATTATATGTTAAATAGCCCAGTAATCACCTCGTGAGCCTAAGACCGTTTTATTTTGACGTTACAGCCTAATTGCTAATGATTGGTTATAAAACGTTACTTCACGAAAACATGAGTTTTATTATCTGGGAGTCTCCAGTCACTGCAGCCACCCAACTCCAATGGCTTTAGTGGAGCTAAACGTGAACTACATCCAGCTTGAATCCTGCGGTTTCCTTCCGTGTCTTTGCTGTAACGCCCAGATCCGTTCACAGAAAGACCCGTTGGGCTGCCGGGGAGGCAGGGGTAGGTAGCGCCGAGCCCGCGCAGGAAAATGAGCCGCTCCTCTGGGCGACGAGGCTGACGGCAGCTCATTGCGTTATCCTCCCAGCGCGCTTTCCGCCCAGAGAGCCCCATCTCGTGGAGATATCTCAAACCGGACATGTTGAGGAAGCATCTTTTTCTTTCTGCTCTGTGCAATTGGTCGCTCTTGGTTTGGGGGAGCCCCCAGCTCCTGTGGACTTCCTCCGTGGAGGAGGAGCTGTGCAGAAGAAGAGGTTGTGCACAAGCTCGGCAGGTAGCTATAAGGCCCCTGCGTATGGCAGGCTGAGTTTGCTGGGGGTGCAGTGTTTGTCGTCTTTTCGGGGTTGAAATTAGCACCGCGGTTTAATGAGCGTTGCCCGTTCTCGTTATTGCTGTTCCCACGACTTCTACGTTCTGTGGCAAGAACTGGCCCCAGCTGTTGAACATCTCGGTCTGTTTAATTTATCGTATCCTGGGAACGTAACGCGTTCATGGATGTTAAATGCGGCAGTAATTGGGCTGTTGGCTTTATAGCAGCCACCTTAGGAAACGCGGAGAGGGCGAGAAGCTGCCGTTAGCTGTGGTAACCGAAGCGGCCGAGCAGAGCGTTGGGTGGGCGGCGTGCTGCAAGCGACACCAAAACATTGCTACCCGACGCGAATAAATCCTGTCCCCAGCAGCGGTGCTGGAAGGCGTCTTGTTTTCAGAACATGCCATCAGTTAAGTTTGTAGCATATTCAGCATGCAATTTCCCAAGACGACAGTCACGAAGCATCAAGCCATTTTCCAGAGCACAATAATGTATTACCTGTAACGACAGTCTTGAAGAACACCAAAAATATGTAACCCCTCTAAGGGGCAGAGCAACAGGAATGTGGCTAGGCGTGGTAAAGGCGTTTTAGGGACCAAAACTCAGCACCCTATTAACTCCGTGTAATGACAAGTAAGACTCGTCCACATAG